AGAAAAACTTCCTCCTCCTGGATCATTGATGGCACATTTTAGTGCACTTCTTGGTAAAATGTGGTCTGGCAAATATAGCGTTCTTAGGCCTACTGAATTTAAACAAACATTGGGGGCATATCATTCACAATTTAAAGACTATAGACAGGTAACTTTGAAATATTTTTATATATTACTTAATTATTAGTGAAGAATTTGAATAATTAATAAAAATAATGATTAACAGCATGATTGTCAGGAATTTCTTGCACTTCTATTGGATTCTTTACATGAACAAATGAATACTGCAAAATGTACAAAAAATTGTCAAACTCCTTCATCTACAACCACTGCCAACACGAATAATTCAATTGAAAATTCAAATGGAAAAATCATGTCTTCAGTCACTGCCACTAGTAATTCCAATTGTAATACAGATTTATTGGAAATGTATGATTGCTTACCATCACCAGAATGTCCAAATAGCCCCAATGTAACAATGGCTGGTTCACCAAGAGGTAAAAGTATATCTTATTATAAATATCTATAATAAATAAAAATTATATATTATAAAAATAATAAAAATTACTTAATTTCAGACTTAGGATCACCTATAGGAGAATTAGATAGTATTGTAAATTCGCCGCGAGGATCACCTTTAAACGATGGTGAGGATGACGAAGAAACACTTGATTCTGATGAAACTGTTGAAGCAAAATCAAATACGTTTATTCATAATGAAGTCGATGGAAAGAAAAATGAAGTCACACCTTCACTAAGGCTAGAAACATTAATTGAATTTTCAAAAAATGTTCCGAAATACCATGGTCTTTATGATATTCATAAAGAAGCAAAAACTAGTAATGCAAACTTCTTAGTAATGCAGCAGGAATGTAATAATGAGATTCATTATGATTCACAAAAATTTCCGAAAGAAAATATTCGTAGAATGCCTTTAGATAATTCAAATCTAATGGAAAATCATGATTTTGATAATAAAAGTGTTAGTATCAAAAGGATAAAAGAAGTTAATGTTCAAAAAGTCAATTGTGGTATAGATTATGGATCAAGTGGTTCTGATATAGAATATGACAATGGTTTAGAAAAATGTAATGTAAAACGTATGAGATTAGATGATCAAGAAAAAAATCATAAACGTGATGGTCAAGGAAGTATTAGTTCTCAATGCATACGAATTTCACAAAGTTATGGAAATGGTACTGTAGAGACACAAGATGAAATTGAGGCTGATAAACATTGGGCAAAGCATTTAAAATCTAATAGAAGTATTATCGTTGATACTTTCCAAGGACAGTTTAAAAGCAAGGTAAATTTAATTATATCATATATAAAAATTTGTGTTGTGGAAACTATACGTTGGGGTAACTAGTTTATATATTTGGCTTTTACCGTAAAATGTTTCCTATATTAAAATTCAACAGCCATACCTTCTTGCTTTAAGAAGCATAAAAAGCATGTCTCATTCTGCTGATACAAATATTTAAACTATATGGCATATTTGTAAATACATAATACATATAGTATATATATATATATACATATATATGTATATATATATAATGTATATGTGTATATATTAAAATTATATATATATATTTAAAATAATTTATATTTTTTACTCTCTTTCTATTATAGGTTGTTTGTGCAGTATGTAATCATGTTTCTGTTACGTATGAACCTTTCATGTATTTGTCAGTGCCACTACCTCATGCAATGGAGAGACAACTAAATGTTACATACGTTCCTGCAAATGGCGATCAACCTATAAGGTGCGTTGTTTCATTAAACAAACAATCACGCATTGGGAAATTGAAGGAGGAGCTATTAAAAACACTTGGCAAAGAAAATATTGCAGTAACAAATATTGCACTTGCTGAAGTTTTAGAAAATCATATATCAAAGATTTTGGTAAGCATATAAAATTTGTTGTATCTGTGAGAGTTGGCTTTTTAGTTTATTTATTTATTTATATATAGCATGTACATATATTTCAAAAAATTTTCATTTTATTAGTCAACTCATTATGATTTCATAATATTTTGAGAAAAATCTACAGATTGATAAATATGATAACCAGTTATTTGAATAAATTTTTAACATCTTAATATGTTTTTTAAGGACGTTTCAAGATATTTATAGTTGCTAGGAATAAAATTTAATTTTATATCATATAAAAAACGGTGCGTGGGTCTATATGTTAGTACAAGAACAATCATGGAGGGTGAAGAAGGCGGCTTATCGAGTAGTCTCGATAATCGTTGATACTGCTCTCCAAGAATAAATGTTGTGGAAGAACATTCTCGTAGCGTAAAGTTTGGTTACGAGGCTACATTCCATCACACAGATTCAATTTTTTTGCTCCTATATTCTCCTATATAATCTGGTTTTCGCTATTTATTTTGTTGTAATTGGCCCAATGTGGCCATCATTCCTCGATTATATTATTTTACCCTTGCACCGTAGGTATCGAGAATTATGTATCTTGCTTGCTGTAACTTATCGCACTAGACGGAATTGTCATTGTTGGATTGTACATCAAGGTTTTACATTTAAGGATGACAATACACTCTTGAGACACATCAATGATACGAATCGATCTATATATGCCTTTGAACTTACGGAACCTCCTGATGCATACACTTCAGTACCAGATGGTGGTGGAGATCGTGTAACCGAGGCCGATTCCTGTCAGAAATGTACAGTTACGGGAGAGGAAATACCATGTACAATTTGTCTCGAAGAATTGGATAGAGATTTGAAAAGGCACAGTGGGAACAGTTGCAACTTTGTTATGTGTGATACTTGTATTGAGGTAAGTTTTACTATATATTTTTAATTTTTTTTTTTCAAATTGTTTTTGAAAAAACTGATATAAAGATATTTTATTTGTATAAATATAATGAAAACCCGATGATGAAAACGGCAGCTTCAATCTAGCGGAAGGGGTATACAAGCAAGGTACATAGTTACCACAATTTCACCTCGGGAAGGTCTGAGATTAAACCAATAAACGTTCTAGACGGATGATACCATAAGGGTATGTACGGGAACCAGAAATAGCTTTACGTTGCCAATTAGCCCAGGAAACTTCATTTGAAGTAGAGGTATTTGGAAACGAAAAGATGGAAACCCGTATGGTTCGCTGTTTGAGTACAATCCGCAAGCCAGAAAGTTTATTTTCTGGAACTCAATTCAGACTAATCTGAGGTTGCCGTTCTGAGGGTATTATATTATATGTTGATGCCTTTTTTTTTTATTTCTTAATAATTAAATTAAATTAAAATTGTAAAATAAAAATTGAAGTTCGAATATATTCAAGTGTTCGTATATTATAATGAATATATTATAAATTATTGTTTTAATTATTATTTACGTTTAACAGAATTACTTCAAAAATCAAACGGAACCGCAAATGTGCCCAATGTGTTCAACTTATATGACTGCGTCGTCTTTTATTAAAATAGATCAAACAGGCAGACCGAGACCTGCAATTAGGATCTTAAATGTACCGCTAGTCTTGCGACATGATACAACAAACGAAACATCAAACAACCGTAAAGGAACAAAACTTTTTGGTTATCCTCATTTAGTAAGATTACCTTCAAGAGTGAATGCTAAAGACTTGTACGATATTGTAAGAAAAAATGTACCACAAGAAGGAAATTATACACTTCATTTTGTTACAGGACAGGTTAGAATATAATTATTTAATAAATTAAATTTATAATTTAATTTATTAAAAATAATAATAAATTAAAAATATATAATTATTTAATAAAATAAATTTTCTTTTTGTCAACGTAAAATCTTTTGTCAAAGATAAGTGATTAATTTTTAATAGATAAATATGATTATTTATATATGGTTTTCTATTACTTTGTACAAAACAATTATAAATATTATTTTTTAATAAATAAAATTGCGTTACGAAATTTCAAAATAAAATACGTTAATAAATATATTTTTTTATAGGGTCATCATTGTTCTCGTTGTATGTATACTACACATTGTACAGGATGCAGTGTATCTGAAACGGGTATGGTAATCTTATGTAATGGTGATACTTTAGCAGTGCGTTATACGGAGCAGGTTCCTAAAATCGCATCTCCAATTGATCATGTTAGCATCAGCAAACAAAGGCCTCATCATCCTTTATCTTTATATGATTGTCTTCAAGCATTTAGTCAAAGGTAGGAATTATTACTAAAGATTGAAATTTTTTGTTTTGAAAGTTTTCAAGCAACTTGTAAATAATATTCAGACTTACACGTTCTATAGCGAAACATTAGATGAACACAATCCTTGGTTTTGTCCAAAATGCGAACGAAATCGGTGCGCTACAAAAACTCTTACAGTCCACAGATATCCAAAGTTCCTCATAGTGTATTTGAAACGGTATATTTTTATAGTTTTATATTTAATAGTTTAGATTTAATAATAAGTGTTTAATTTAATAATAAGATTTGTTTTCTAATATATATAATTTTATATAAATTTATATTAATATATAAATATATATTATATATTATAAATTTATATTAATATATATTAATTATATAATTAATATATTTTGTTTTTTATATAATTTGTATTTTTTTACAGATTCGTATTTTATGAGTGTACTAGTATGAAATTAGATGATAAAGTTACATTTCCATTGGTTGGTTTAAGCGTTGGACAACATCTATATGATCTTTATGCTTGCGTTTGTCATTTTGGAGGTATATATTTTTATTTTATTTATATTAGTTTAGTATAATATGATATTATGTATGTTATATATTGTTATAGGGGTTTCGGCAGGACATTATACAGCATACGCGAAGAATCCTCGCACTGATACGTGGTACTATTACAATGATGAAATTACAAGCAGACAGAAACCTCAAGAGGAAGATTTTAGCAACGCATATATACTTTTTTACAGTCGGCAAGGGACCAATTTAAAATCGTGCAATATATAACCAGTGCTGGAACGACGAAACTGGCAAATAGTCAGTGAGATACAAAGAGTGAGGAACAAAATAGGATACAAGGAATCAAGAGAAGAGTTTACAAGGTGTTACGTTTATATGTTGATCAAACTACATCATCTTGAATGGAAAACTGCTCACAAATCTCTTGATCTATTTTTCCTAATAATTCGCTCATGGTCTGCCTCTTTGTCTCTTTTCCTTCCTTACATTATCCAATTTCTTGCTGTTAAATTTCTAGCAAACATCTTATATAAAATGATACAGCACATACATCGAAATTCGTTGAATATTGTGCGTTTTATCAGTGATCATTTATTCAGTTGAAGGGTATTGTGTATTTGCTAGATTCATTAATGGCGTTTAATGTGAAAACAGCAGTTGTAAGGAAGAATTAATAATTTGAAAAGAACTAAATGTATTTATACAAGATTAGTGCGTAAATATACGTTGAATTTGTACAGTAGGTGATTAAACGTAGACTTTGAGGTTTTGAACAGACGTAATTTATTAGTGAATAAAGGCGAATGTTACGACTAGAACACACTTAAAAGTACGATCCTTAATGATGGAGTGTAACCATTCACTGTATCATTATTTCCTTTTTATTTGAATGGATACAAGACTGCTAAAATGTTCATAATCTGCATGTACAGAGAAAAAAATTTGTACTTGCAGATTATTTATTAAATTAGTTTTGTTGTAATTTTATTACAAGATATTCATTTTATTTGTTATATGCGCTCGTATCCTCACGCGTACAATCGACACACGCATGCGTTATAATACATAATCATCATATCTGTTGTTAGTATGCTATTTGTGGCCCGATGACTGTATTATATACGTCTTTGTCGTATAAGTTATTGTAAAAATTACCATAAAAGAAACTGTTCCAATTTTTTGGTGAAAACCTATTAACTAGAAAATGATTACATTATATTATATTTGTGTTCATTTGGTAATTTTGTGACTGTTCTTGTTTTTTAATTAATTGATTGGATAACATAAAAAAATCATTATGAATTTCTTAATTATAATATTAATTCTTAATATTTAAGAAAATAACTTTTAAATGTCGTTAAAAATAAAAAATGCCAAATTTTTAAATATTTCGATATATCGAGTTCAAAAATAACAAGTTTTAATAATAAATATTGGATAAGAAATAACTTTGTTCTAATCGCTATTTGGAAGAATTCTATCTATATCTTTATAGCCATTGAAAATTTATTCGAAAGAGAAATATACGAGTACAAAGATTGAGATATGCAAAATCGAGAGAAACTAAGGCCACCGATAGGGTAACGATTAGGTACGTTAAATATATATGTAAAAGACGATCTTTGGTATGTACATTAAAAATCTTATCGATAAATATTTCGCGATAAATATTTGCATTATAACGATCAAAAACGTTTATTCGCACGATGGTGTCAAAAATACGCCATTAATTATTGAAGAGCGATACTCGGAAACTTTTTAGATATTTTAACGATAACCATGGATAATGGTATGTTGGTGTTAGAATATATTTCTCAAAATTTGTTTCAACCATTCCTTCTTCTAACCTAACAAAACTACAATTATTCTATCCTTTTGTTCAAATAGTGATGTACATGATATTGATTTAATATCACTGTTTTTTCTGTGCTTGAATATTTTTCTTTATCTATACGCGCCATATATCGTTGTCAAAATTTCGATTGCTTAATGTAAAGACACTGTAAACCATACCACCGCTCCAGGATGTTGTAGACCTCCAATTTCACAATTTATTGTTCGAGTTTCGCCATTTAAAACGAAGAGTGCATCATTCGAAGGGCTAACCATGTATTTGCCAAATATGCCACTTTGTACAATTGGTCTATTCGGGTTTCCCCACTTTGTTAAATTAGGCGATGTTGCTTTACCAACACCTGTTATCATTTCTACTTTGCCTATGATAAAAAATAAATTTTTAACTTTTTTAATACAAAAAGCATCATATTAAGAAATTTTCATACCAGTTGATAGATCGAGGAAAAGAATATTTTCCTTGTCAATAGATGACGCATAAATATCGTAACCATGTGTCGTTTGTGATGGATAGAGTGCGATATCGCTGATATTTAATGTCGTTTTCACATCAAATGCGAATTTCAAACCATCGGCTGAAAAAAAAAAATAATTGTGAATGAAATACTTAAGAAATTGATAAGAAAAAAATAAATTCTAATTACATGATATTTCTTGTACGACTAAAGTTACGCCTGTTTCTTGCTTATCTAATGTGACAAGATGTCGAGAATCAGGTGAAATTGTTGGTTTTCCTAAAATTTTTGGCTTATATGCAAGAACGGTATCAGTTAAATAATCCAATAATAATTGACCCGTTGGTCGATTAGTGACTGGTTCTTGGCATTCAATTACTACAAACCCATCTGAAATAAAAAATAGAATAATATAAGAAATATTTATAGATTTATAACATATATTTATTAAGTTCATAAAGTATTGAATTACGTACATAGAACCGAAAATTGGACATTAACTGGAACACAATTATAAGAACTTAAATCAGCGCTACGTGTATATTTCATATTCTTCAAATCCAATTTGTACATGTTACGTTGATTTGCGTGACTCACATAACCGTACTTGAAGATGTTTTCAATATCCTAAATGGATTAAAAAATGTACAGTAATATTTCATTTATGTATCTTCAAAATAAATAATAATTTTCAATAATTATATTTACTTGTGGTTCAGGGATATAAATATTTTGGATTATATCGAATTGCGCATCAATGGGTTCTGGTCGGATAGCGCGATGCTTTTTCTTTTGAGCAGCATCTTCGATTACTTGAACAGTTTTCACATCGATATCTTTCTGATTTCGCCAATTCAATATCCATACTTGATCAAGAGAAGGAACGTACCAAAGTTGAACAGGATTTTTATCTGTTGGTATTACCTAACAAGAAAAAAGACAAGATTTATTTTCATAATATATTATGATTAATCAATTAACATAATATTAACAAATAAAAGTTTACTCACGTCGACTATAACCATTTGTATTTCACTAATAACAAGTACGCGATCTTTATCCGGTTGGCTGACATATACATATCGATTTGCGACATTGATTGCACGTCCCCATGAGCAAGGAATACCTTTAACTCCACACACATGCTCCTAAATTATGAAATTGAAGGAAATATATAAAAATATAAAACCGATTTTGTTGTCTAGAGATTAGCAGCTAGAGTATAATAATTAAATATTTTAAAAAATTATTTATGTTATAATGCAATAATAAAATAATGTTTGATTTGAGAAATACATTTAAAAGCCTTGAATATTAACGATCTGGATTATGAAGGCTTAAAATCAAATAATGCGATAAATAATTATGTAATAACACATTTGATTTTACCTGTGTACCTGGTATAACATCCGTAGATCGAATTTCATGTCGCGGCCGACAAGCAGATGGCTCGTATACCAAAATTCCCCATTGGTGAAATGAGAAAAATCTTCGTTCCTCACTCTCAGTCGCTGGATAAAAGTTTAATTATCATTTATCATCAATTTATCTAGATAAATAATAAATTTATATTTATTCACATTTGCAATATTTGTAAATATCAACCTGATTTATGTATTACATGATAAACTAACTTTTCTTAATTTGTTTTCTATTAATTGTATGAAAATAGAAAAAAAATAGATATCATATGCTTGTAAATAACTTACTTGGAGTAGGTTGTTCTTGAACCACTAAACTACTGATGTCTCTGGTAATACCACCAATGCTGGTAGCTTGACACATATAAGCCCCTGTATCGGCATAATCAACGTTTTTAATGATAAGTTTAGTACCGTTTCCAATAAGATTATATTTGTCCGGTTGATCATGGTTCAGCGCTTCGTCGTTTTTTAACCATTGAACTCGCGGAAGGGGTTCACCAGCCACGTGACATCTTATATTTGCCTCCTCTTTCAAACGTTTCGCTTGAAATCGCGGTGTCACTTTTACCTCGGGAATAGCTAAGAGTCGAAAACTTTTTAAAAATGATCGTTCTTTGCAAAAAAGGAAAATATTGATAAATCATGTTGTATTTTCTAAAACTTACTATGAATAGTCAACACGTGTGTTTGAACGACATCCTGATTTCTAACTGCGTGACAAGTATAATTTCCAGCATGTATCAGTTGTACTTTTGTTAGATAGAGACTGCCATCGTTGAATACTCGGATCTATCAAATGAAAAAAGTAAATTGTTGATTGATTATTGATTATATGTGAAATATATGGTTTATTCAACAAGTATATTTAGCGATTTTTTAAGAAATTGTTTATCATACCTCAGGCTCGTTCAGTGTTTCTAAATCAGCTCCATTTCGTTGCCATACTAAAGGTGGTGGTGGTGTACCCGTAACATCGCACTTGATCTCCACATTATCACCCACCCTTGCAGAAATATGATTCACTTCGAGAGACTTGTCTAGAGACACCACTGAGACACCTATGAACGATTGCGCTAGTTTCAAAAATACTTTAAGTATACGATAATATTCTTTATTTTGTGTACATAATTTATATAAATATATATGTATAAATATAAAATTTATATTTAAATTTTAATAATTCAAATTTTTGCTAAAAATTGAGGGGCCCAAATAAAAATAAGCATATGCCAAATTATCATAAATTGTGAACATAATTTTATAAAAGGAAATTGAAAAAGAGCTTTATATTCATAACATAATGAGGAATTATATCTGTTTTAAGTTGCATGATTTTGCTCAATGAAATATATATGATGTTGTATTAAAAAATTACGGAATTGAATGAATGAACAAAATAATGATACAAAAAATAAGTTGCATAACATGGCATAAAGTTATTTTTCATTGGATCCCTTACTTATAAAGAACTTCACTGAAGAACTTACTTATAAAGAACATCACTGAATAAAAAAAAAATATTTGCAAAGTTTTTTATTTTCGTTTCTACTATGATAATTAAAGAATTGAATAATTCAAAAGACAATTACTTACTGTAGAGTTTGCTGAACGCCATGTAAAATTCATTCACGTTCAATTTTCCATCGCCATCCGTATCATCATAACTAATCATATGTCCGAGATTGCAGCCTCTGCACAACTCTTCTAAATCTTCGTTCTCCGCGAACTATATAAATATAATAAAAAATATCTACAATCATCGAATAGATTAATCACGAAGAAGTTAAAGTAAAGAAAAATTACCTGTTCCAACTCTTCGCGTTCCAAATTGCCATTATTGTTTCGATCGTAATGAGAAAACATTATACTGACGAGATATTCTTTGCTATGATTGTCTTGCGACATTAATCTCGCGTGATTGTAAAGCAACAAATTATCCTGCAATGGAAGAATAAATATCAATGATGATGAAGATATGACAAAGGTTTAAATTTTATTTTATTATTATTTTACCTTCATAATTTCGTATTCTTGATTCGAACATTCCTTCGAGTCGGAGTCGTTCTTGTCTGGTATCAAATTATCTTTCAAACCACCCTTCTTTCGATTCCTAGATTTTGGATAAGATACAATCTTGCTCGTTTTGAGGGATGTTCTGTTCATGTGTAAGGTTCTTCGAATGTGAGCATTCTCGATATCTGCGATTAATTTGGAAAAACGAGATGGTTATTTTAATTTAATTATATTAATCGTTCACCAATTTCTATATAATTTAAACGTGACTTCAATAGAATGGTGTCGATGAAATTAGTAGTTATTTTTGCTAGTTTACAGAGAGTTTTTAGATCTTCTTCATTTAAAATTTTCATGATTTTCTTTTTTGTAAAATAATAATCAAAATCGATCATAATTTATCATTTA